GAATCATCAAAGATCAATAATTTCCTACATAATACAACACATGGCAAAAATATAAAAATCTTATGCGTCAGCTTGCTGGACTGACTGTTGAGTCTGATGCAGTACATTTGATATATCAAATAGCAATGTTTTTCTTTAAAACTGGAATTATGAAAAATAAAATGGCCATGCTAATTTTGAAAAAAAAAAAAAAAAAACTACGTTCTTCCATAAAAAGTTTTTACCCTAGGTGAGGTGGTTTTTCGGCTGTATCGAAATTAGTATTTTGCAAAACTTCAATGGAAACACTTTTTTTGTATCGCATGAGTCACTTGATCAAGTCATGTTACTACTGGTGGAAAAGACAAAGATGACAGGAAGTGGTATGAGGATGATGGCGTGGCATGTGTTTTATTGACATTGCGTGTTTCACCTGTGACTTTAATTGCATTTCTTATTTGATGGAAACTTTGGAAATTTTGGGAAAACACCTAGTGAGAAGCATTATCCACAAATGGGGAAAACATAGAACAGTGGTGAGCTGACTGGCTTACCTAAATTACTCCACATCTGGTTCATGCATGAGGATCCAGAATAACATCAAAAGCACTACAGACCTCACCTGCATCTGATAACACCAGTGTTCATAGCTCAACAGTAAGTAGGAGATAGGCATATGGAGTACATCTGGACTAAAAGCTATAGCTACAGTTTTTCAGGAAAAATAACAAATTACCAACATATATTTTGGGGATGCTTTGTTACTTTTCTTAAATGGCCTAGTCAAAGTATGGATTCAAATATAATTAAGCTCTAGGACCATTAAAAGGCCCGTGAATGTTGCTAAAGCACAATTTTTCTTCATTAGACTACCGTTATATTCTGTCCCACTAAATTATGACTTTATCTGCCTTGACCCGTCCTATCCATCATTTCCACATCACATCTCAATATAATTTCTCATTCGTGTTGCTCCATCACAACACAATCTGACATAAGTTGAAGGTTACAGCTGCAGTAAGGAGAGACGCCCACTCTGTCAGACTGTGCGACTGGAACAGGACCAGACTCCCGGCATCTCTGCAGCACCTGCTAATCTATGGAACACTGAAGTTTGCTGAAACACTGCATGGCAAACACATTTACTGTAATCTAGCTCTTGTAAAATTCAAAAGGAGGAGAGAGAGGAGATACAAGGCACTATAGATTAGTATTGATTGGCAGCAATGCGGGTCTTGTCCTCAAGTGCTTGTGAGTTGCTCTCTCAGGGCGTTGCCAGGTAATCCAAGCCTCAGAGGTCAGCAAGATTCCTGGCAGGTTGAATGAGGCACTCCTGCAGCACCAAAGGAAACAAAGGCATAGCTCTTACGACTCTTATTGACTGTTTTAGAGATAATCACCTCATTTGACTTTCATTTTTGTCTTCGAAAACCATCACAAGATGCCTATGCGGTGCTGGATGGCGTCTGTTTAAGGGGAAATACAATAAAGTTGATGAATATGCAAGCTGAGCTTCCTGAAAAGGTTTTGGCAATAAGAAAGGAGTCTGCATTAAAACCAGGAATGATTTCCTGTGTGTGCAAGTCTTTCCATCAGCTATTCAGGACAGAAAGAGAGAAAGTTTTCGTTATTCCTCTGCTGGGCAGGACGAGGGTCTGCAGTACTGTGATGCCTTGGCTTCAGCATGGGTGACTCTGAGATAATTTGTTGGGTGACTGCCAAATACATTTCACCCCCCAAAGCACTTTGATTCTCACAGAGTGCGTCTGGCACACTCTGCTCCAGTGATCAATGGTTCCTAATGGAGGGACGCTCATGTGCAGAAATAATTTTAATTAGAACACTTTTTTTTTTCCTGAAGCCATAAATGAATTTAGACAATGATTTCTGTCTTTCAGATGTGTGGGAACAATTCTGAGTTGTCTGAAGGCTTCACAAAAAAGCTCCACCAGGCAGTTCAAGGATTTCACCAATGATGGAGCAATTTCTAAAAATAATTGATTAAGAAGTAAAAAGTAGACTAAGAATTATTTAATTTATGTTAATGTAAGTTATTTATGGATCCTTGTGCTGCCAGTTTGTCTGTCTATCTATTTATCTATCTGAATGTATATATTTGAAATATTCCACTTGACAAAATCACATATATAAATCATACAACAGAAAAAGGAAAAAAGGGTACTTGTTGACAAAAATATTTATTTTTGGCGGGGTGGGGAGAAATTTAATTTCCAAAACATTAATTTAATAATGTAAGAAAACAAATTAGGTAAATTCTGTTAAAATGCATTTTTCCACTGGTCTTTTGGTAAGATATGTATAAGCCTTTAAAAATAAATAAAACTGGAAAAAATGCACCATTCATTTCACAGGACAAATTTATTTAAGAATAAAAACCCAGTGGTTCAACAGCTGAAATGTTTAGAAGATTAAAGTGCTTTTTATTACAATTATGCCTCAATGCTATACACTAGAAATAAACCATTAGTTAATCGTTCTGTATATTTGTGAATTTCAGCACAGCTTAAGTCGGAATCCAGGGGCTTCCACAGAAACAGAGCAGAGACAGAGTTTTGCAGCAAACATTTTAAAATATGCCCTGTAAAGGGCAGTGGTTTATCATTTTTTCACAATATGAACATTAAAACTTTGCTGCCCCCTACAGTTTAAAGTATGTCAGTGCATGGACTGACGGAAGCAGCCTGTCTATTCTTATCCCACTAATAAGAATAGAAGAAATAAACAAACAAAAAAGAAACACATGATTTTAACCTCTTCTAAATAAAAGAGTAACTAGGATGTCACATGTATTGGCAGCAAATTAACAGTGTCTTAAAGTGAAGAATCATAATATATGAAGGAGGAGAACATGTTTTCTTTTGTTTTTAATCTGGCACATGTTCCCTTGTAAAGGTGAACTAATATGAACATAATCCTGAATAAAAACAAAAATAAAGCAAGCGAAAACCAGAAAATGTCTAAAGAGAGTTCCTCATGTTTTCGAAATATTTTTTTTTACTCTGACAAAACAACAAACATGTTTTTCACTGTACATTTTAAAGCTTTCAAAAGCTTTATAATACTATTATATATATATACTTCTCCAAATCTGACACTCTCAAGCAAATTCAGTACTTAATGCATAAGTAAATAGACAAACACATTTTAATTAATTTGAAAATATCAAAAATAGAAAGTCTAAATCAAGGTGAAGGGGACAATATGTCCCTTGTTGCAGGGACCGGAGCTTTTCAATCTACTTTTTGCACTTTACATTGTCCAGAGCGAAACTGGCTGAGTCCCAGCGCGTTTAGTGCTGAGGTAAGCACACGTCATCGTCAAGGACAAACACTTCAGGACACTCTGTGTGTTTTGGAGTGAGGCCAAATGGCATATGACAGAAAGGTAAGGGTGGTGTGAAGGAGTTTTAGGACATTTCAGAGACATTTTTAACATAGGATGAAATATTTGTGCAAAGAAGAAATATAAATTTAACTAATGAGATCTAGGTATGAAAGAATCAGTGATGCCAAAAAGAGAAAATGTTTTGAAAAGTTTGGTAAAATAACATCACACTGTCAAAAATAAATGTATATAAAAGAAATGATTTTATGTTGTTTATATGAACTTAGGACACATAATGTAATACTACAAATAAAATGGCATTACAAATCCAATCACACTGTTAATAAAAAAAACATCTCTTCATTCAAATCTCTCATCACAGCTGATAAAATTACAGTAAATATTACAAAATAACACATTTTATAAAGAAGCTACACAGAAGTTAAAGATTCATTAAAAACCTGAGCAGTCGTTTATGTTTGGAAATAAAAGCACAGTGAGAGTAACAACAGCTTTTGGCCACCAGGTGGTGCAGTAATACAAATAATGTCATAATGCAAAAGCTGTTGCAACCTACCGTCAAGTTTCAAACAGCAGTACATCATCGACTGGAACCCCTTTCGTACTTAAAGGTGTAGAGCATGACGTGCTGGAGATGAACAAAGCACCTCTGTGTTCCTAAACATAACCCTTTCCGGTGACAGTGCAACACTGTGATTTAGCAAAATCTTTCCTGACACATTTTTTTTGTGAATAAAATCTTAAAAGGCTGAATCATGACAATGCAACTTCTCTTTGAATGTTCAGCAGCAAACTCCAAACATCAGAATTGTTCCTTTATGCTTAAAATGCAACATTACCGTGGAAAAACAAAAAACAATGCTAGGTTATGTAGCAGTTTTTAGCTCTAATTCTGTTTGGCTTTGTATTTTAAGTCTTTGGGGTTGATTGATGTAACGAACTCATTAAACTGGGTGTTACTTCACATCTCTGCCTGTCTGCATTTGAGTCTACCAACAAAAAACACATCATGACGGAGACTCACCACCTTGAACGTATGGGTGTTACCATGGAGCACTAATAAAATATTACTGATCATTAAGATGATACAGTATTCATATTCAAATTCCTTACATATTTTCAAAATGCTATATAGACCTGGCAGGGTGAAGTGGAATAAGTTAATATTATCTTAATATGACAACAAATTCATCAGGCATATAACATATATAACAGGCCTGACTGCTTATGTTTTTATAGCAAGTCATCAATAAACACAGCTAAAATGAATGGGGCCAAAGATGCTGCTTGTTCAACATTATAACAATTACTTTAATTAATCATTAGACACATTTTAGCCCCATTCTATTTTAAGCTGCTGAGGCAATTAGTATTCATGTACTCAAAGCAGTGGTCAATAAATTTTGCTTCATGAAATTTTTAAAGAGTTTGTTAAATGTCTCATCTTTATGCCATCTTAAAAAATATGGAATGAACATTGGTTCCATTCCATCCATCCATCCACATCCATCCATCCATCCATCCATCCATCCACATCCATCCATCCATCCATCCATCCATCCATCCATCCATCCATCCACAAAAAATGAATTTATTGGAGATTAACTTTAAATGTTCATTTTTGTGAATAATTATCCGTCAAATATTGAAATCTGTGCCAGCTACTCTGTTTATTCATTTCTTTGCATGTCGGCCACTGAACTCCAACATCAAACATCCATGTGGGCATTTCTGATGTGACGGTAAGGGTTGGAACAAAAAGGGAGAGGGAAGACATGCAATTTTAATGACCAGTTCATGTTGCTTTTTTTTCTCCCTCTTTTCATTTCTCTCACACAAAAACGTGGTAAAACCAACCTGACATTGTTTCCATGCCGACACAACATATGACATTCAACGCATGACCAAGCTACTTAAGATAAATACTGTATTATGTCACCTAATGTGTGTTGTGCACCTATTTCATGCATTTTTTCCCCCCTCTCTCCATCTGTTCCCAGGAAGGAGGTGCCACAGTCAGAGTCGGGGAAGACGTGAGAGCATTTGGAGACATTCCGTGTCTTTGGCGCCCTTTTCCCTTTGTACCTCACTTATGCAATGTGCAGCAACAACTCATGTACAAGATGCGTCTCACACAGAAGGAAAAGACGCGGAGCGGCTTGAGTAGAAGGATGCTTGACAGACAGAAAGGAGAGAGCTCTGCAGCAGGATCCCCACAGCGCTGCTGAACATAAAACTGCGTGACTGGTCTCCGCAAGCAGAAGGGAGGAGAGAGGAGAGAAGGGAGGAAGGCAGAGAAGAAAGCAGGGGGAGGGGAGGCAGCTCAGTTCAGTGCGGTGCTGTAGCTGAGTGGATGAGGCAGCAGCATCAGCACCACTAGCTGTAGCATCGTCTCCTTTTGTGGAGGCTGGGGCGGGGGGTTGGGGGAGCTGTCTTGTAGCTGCTGCAGGACCAACATTATCTGCATACACAGAAACATATCCGGTCACCTCGTCACACGCACCCATGCCGTGGCGGCCAGAGACGAGGAGGTGGTGGTAAGTGACGGGGTAAGCTCGGGGGACAGGAGGAAAGAGGGACGGCTGGAGGGATCCCAAACGTGAGGAGGGCTGGAGCGACGGTGACTGGAGCAGAAGCAGCAGCAGCAGTAGCAGCAGCGGCACCATGGCGCAAGCTGCCAAGCAGCTCCGCAAGACCAAGGACCTCGCAGAGGCCGCCGCCCAGGAGCAGCGGGAGAAGGAGGAGGAGAAGATCAAAAAGAGGAATCGATCCAGAGACCGCAGACGCAAGGTACTGATGTTCTCTCTCAGGAGGCTGGCAAGGTGGTGCTTTACATCCTTGTGTCCATCTTTCCCATCAGACCTGTCGTTTTCCCCCTCGCAGGCTCTGTCACACTGCAAACATTGTGCATGATTGGTTGGAACGCAGTTGCACAAGTATAATTGCACAGATGGATTTGTACGCTCAGGCGTGTGTATTTGTGCGTGTGTGTGTAAGCTCGAATGTGTGTGCGTGTGTGTGTGTGTAACCAGTCAAGCATTGATGCTCCGGTGCAGGTTTTGTCTGCTCCGTCAGATATTTAGCCATCGGGGGAAAAGGCTCTTAATACCAGTGGGGATGTGACTAATACCTGCTGTTTGCAGAATAACACACTATGCCAGTCATTTCTTTTACCTGAGAACCCTTGCAGTCGGTGCAGCTTTTTCATATTAATGAAATTCAGTATTTTAAATGCATGTGCACATATTGTTTCCTTGCGTAAAACCCTAAACAAGCTCTACTCTCTCTCTCAAAAAGCTCTGCCATAGTTAGATTTGCTGTCTTCCCCCATATTGCATCTTTTTTTTTCTCACTGGGAGAAAATGGAGGGGGAAGATGGAGGTACAGTCTAATAATAGATGCAGTTTTAATGCTTTTGTGCATCTTTTTGGGCTGCAGGTGTTATTCGAAGAAAAATATAACAAATGTTGATAAATTAACGTCTAAACCTTTTGTTACAAACTTGATGCATGGAATAATATCAGATAAGTGTGAAGCTTTCAGTCACCTTCACATCCCATGCCTCCTGTTCACTCTCATGCTCTAACTGAGCCACTAAGTGCAGATTTGACTGAGGTTGTGCTTCCTTGCTTTCGTGTTCGGATGATTTGTAATGATATGTTTGAGAAAAGTTGGCTGTTTGAATCCTGATTGTGACTGGCTAGAGACACATGACTTTATTCTGTTTTTAGCTAACACGAGTCTGATTGTATGCATTTGTCGTGTTTGTTCAAATGCATTTGGAAGTGAGTGCATGCTTTCACAGGATGACAAAATTGCACCAAAATGAGTTGTATCGTATTCATTTGATGGAAACTCTGGAGTGTGCCAGGTGTTTGCAGAGAAGAAAGCTGCAGCACCCAGGGATCACAGACTTCTTATTTACTGGCTCTCCGCGTAAAACGGATCATTTGTTCTGAACGCCAAACTGTGAAGGTGCATCTGGCATTCTGAGGCTTGTTAAAAAAGTGAGAAACTTAACTTGTCAAGCTAACCAGAAAAAAAAAAAACATTGTTGTAGTTATATCACAATGTTTGTCTTTCTAATCTAAAAAAAAAAAATAATAAAAAAAACTATGATCAGGTGTTTCATTTTAAAGTAGGACTGATTTTACCAAATGCTGCATGCTCAGTCTGCAGAGCACAGAAAGTCCACAAACAAACAAAAAAGAATCTCTGAAACATGCATTAGTATTCTGAGACGTCGCAGATGCTTGAGCACAAGCTTTGGATTGCTGAGAATGAATCTGTGTGCTTTTTGTAGATGATTAAGCCCAGCCAAGCAGACAATGGCCTCTCTTTGATCACTAAGCATCTCTGCCTATTGGCTTATTTTGTATTCTCTGACCAAAAATAGACTTTGTACTTGAATTGTTGGGAATCCAGTTGAAGGTCTGCTGTGTTCCTCATAAGAGGCAGTGTTTTGTCTTGGCGTAGCACGAAAGCTTCATGTTTCTGCTCAGCTTAACGAGATAACTTTTCTTAGCAAATTATTCATTTTTTTTTTTAAAAAGGAGATTGTTAACAACACATTTACTGTAGTAACTAAGTTTCTCAGCATCTGTTGATGTTGCACAGGATGTTGTTTTAACCTTGGCAGTTTATTGCCTTCATGATAAAAGTTTCTTTGGCAGTGAGCCATATTCCAGAGTTTGCATGATCAGCAATATATCGATGAGCTAAAAGTGTCCAATAACTTATCTCTGGGAAGCACCTGCTGCAAGAAACTGCTAATTTGTCTACAGCTCCTCCTTAGGAAGTTAACCTCCTATCTGTTTGTATATTAATGCATCATACAGTTGTCTTAGATTCAACAAATCTATCCAAAATTGACTCTGATAGTGTCAGATTTGGACAGAGCTGTTTATCTGAGTTGATGTGATTTTGCTATCTATGTCTATTTGTCTAATAGAGACATACCCTGTAGCACCTGCATTTGCATCTGTGACTCCAATGAAAGAGGAGTCTTTAAAGTGTTGATTGAATGCAAATTCACGCCACTCTTAAAATGTTTTATTAGATAAGCAAATAAGAGAATCTTGAATCATTTCCCATTTACTTCTCAATACTGCGAAACCTTGTGTCGATTTATCAGATACAAGTACTTTTGTAATTCTCTGTAGAAACAGTAAGAACAGAGAGGTTTTGGCCATTTGTTTAAAGTGTTTTGCTGGGTTTCATAAGCTCAAGGCACATGCAATACAGCAATAGTGGAATGTTCATAGCTAAAATGCAGCTCTGCCTGTCTGGCCGTCCTCCCTCAGCAAAACCACTCTCAGCAGCCAGGCCTTTTCACTGTGTGTTCTCAACATAAACCAGTCTTCCTTCTCTCTGAAATATTTGCTACGTGCCCTGAAGTGCAAAGTCAAAGAGACAGAGAGGAGAAGAGGCATGCGCAGGTCTTAGAGTTCAGAGATATTAATTAGCTCCAGTCGACGTAAATCAAACTCAGAAGCATGGGATCTCTCTTCCTTACTTGTCCCCCTTTAACTAATCCTTCTGTCACTTCCCTGAACTGATAGAGGCCTGATATAGCAGCAGGAAAAGTTCTGCTGGCGAAGGTGAATGCTGTGCAGATGCAGAACAGTTTGCAGTCATTTGTTTTTTTGTCTCCACACCTTTAAAAATAAAAGTGTAGACCATTAATGTTTGCTAATCTTGGTCTACTCTTAGTCAGGATTACGTTTTGTGTATGATTGTCAGCTTTTGATATTTGTGAGATGTGTTGTACTGAAGATTTAAACTGATGTGATTAAAACAGCTTTACATGCAACACATGTTGTGGTTTTAGGCATGGAAACTTTCAGTCCAGGGAGAAATAAAAAGTGATGTGGATGAGGAAAAACATTACTTTTTTTTTTTTTTTTTTAAATAAAACCGTACTACCATGCAATGCATTTGATATGATATTCCATACTATGTCTGTGATACTTGGACCCTAGTTTGGTTCAAGTTGTTAAATTGAAAGGAGCAATGGACTTGTACGACAGGCAGAAAAACAGCCCCACAGCATAAAGCTACAATCATTATGGTTGGTAACATTTATTAGTTTGAAAGAACAGACATGTAGCTTGTCTGGTCAAAGCAGTTTCTTCAGAAGGTGTGTAAATTCATTTTGGTGGAGGGACTTATTCCTTTTTAGACGCCTTTTGTCCATTGTAATGTGAAACCTATGTGCACATTCCAGTTCACTCCAGGTTTTTCTGATCCCAGCATCAATTTTCTCTCTTTTCAGAGTGACAGTTTGGATCAGATGCCTAAAAGTTAGATCAAATTTGGTGTTTCAAATACACGGTTTCAAATACACATCAAAACTGATTTTGGAGTAGACAAATCCGTCTATTAGACAAGACTCCCACTTACACCTTACTAAAAATGTTTGATTAAAACCCTTTCCGGAACTGGTCAATTTAAATGAGCTCTACCAATTCTAGCAGGAAGAAGGGGTTAAATATCCAACTAGAATTTGTTAAGAAGCTTATTGGTGGCTACAGAAAGGATGTGGTTGAGGGACAACTTGGTACCAATCCTTGTTTGTTGCACAGTAGATCTGTCCCTTGTCATTTTTGATTGTCAGCAAAAGTATTTCCAATATTCTTATACACTGCTCAAAAAAATAAAGGGAACACTCAAATAACACATCCTAGATCTGAATGAATGAAATATTCTCATTGAATCCTTTGTTCTGTACAAAGTTGAATGTGCTGACAACAAAATCACACAAAAATCATCAATGGAAATCAAATTTATTAACCAATGGAGGCCTGGATTTGGAGCCACACACAAAATTAAAGTGAAATGTTCCCTTTATTTTTTTGAGCAGTATATAACATATAGAACATTCCCACATTAAAATTCCACCTTGAAAGGGTAGACATTTAACTCAAGGACTGTACTCAGCAGAAGTCTTATGCATTCCAGTAATACATTATTTTATCAATGGAGTTCATGAAAATGATCAAGACAGCTCTACTCATGACGTTACTCTGCAGCATGAACCTACGAGGGAGATTAAGCTTTTACTGTAATGCTTAACCTGAAGCTCCTTAGGCCCATACATGTATTTGTTTGTTTGTATTTGCTCCAGGCTTGCACATACATATAAGTGCCAGATCCAAATGGATCCAGGATTTCGTAATGGACATTGTGTGCTCTCTTTGTTTAATCTTTTTAGTTAACTTTTTGTGTGCACACATGATATATTTTATTCCAATTGTATTTATTATTTCCCACAGTAATTAGCCAAAATTCTGTCTGATATGCCCTTGTACACCATGGATGGCATTATTATTGACATTTTAGAGAAACCATTTAAAGAAGAGGCAAAGATTACTATTACAGAACAAGTCAGAATTTTTAAAATTAAAATTTTCTTCAATAAACTGTAAAGATCAAAAGGAAATTACGATGACAAAATTGCTACAACGTATCCCACTCACCTCCATACGAGGTGAAATTTTCCATAATGGCACAATATTGTCTCAGGACATTTTAACAAGTTCCCAAAACCAATGGTTATAGATTATTCTACCAAAAATAAAGCTTTCTTCAGATATTACTAAAACCATATAAATATTTTTAAGACAAGGTCAATTCAGGAGTATGTTTCTACATTTTTTTTTAAACATGTTAAAGTTGGTTCCTTTGAAAAAGTCTCCAACAAAGTGATACAGCATTTTTATTGGCTCCTTGTGGCTTAACATTTTTTTTTAAATATATTGCCTAATTTAAAAAGATGTAGTCAGAGAGTG